AGCCCCTCCTGTGACATATGTCTCTACCTGTAATTAGTGGGCTGGCATGCCCCCAAAAGGTATATAAGCGTGAGTCAGCAATATAGAGTGCTCGGACTTCTCGACCTCTCTGACTCTCTCTGGCTCCCCTCTCTTCCCCCTCTCCCTTGTTCCCTTGTCCTCCTTCCCTTCCCCCTCTCTCCACATGGACCACCAAGCTGGACAGAGGTGAGCAATGCTACCATGTAATGTGTCTGACTGCATTATTGTAGTAGCTCTCATGCTCTCGATGACTTTAATATAATACTTATATATCTCAACCGTACAATTGTGCATTACTGAACCCAGAAATAGTATTACTGAACCAGTGAGTTCTAGTAGCTGGTGGGGCTGGCACCCCACTCCCCCCGCGCCAATTTGTAATTTAATACTACCATCAACCACCCAGAAACTTGAGAGGGTGGGCTACTCTTGGTCCTAAATGTCTTGCGACACCCCTCACAATGAATTGTGATGACCCGATGGCTGTCGCGCTGTCCCCACGCTCCACTGCCGCACAGCAAACCCAACCGAGTGCTAGCACACAGATCACACAGATCGTTCTCTGAAGCTTGGCTCGGGCGTGTGAGCAGGGACATCTGGAATGGCTGGTCTGCTCCCTGACGGCCTGGCCGGGAACCAGCTGGAGGCTCTGCACATGCACGCCTGGGACCTGGGCAGGAGCAACTCAGAGATGGGCTCAGCTGGGACCGCCAGCTGGAGTGGCTACAAGTGGCTTCTTCACGTGCTTGGGCTGGGAGGCTGAATTCCGAGAGAGGATGTCCCGAGAGGGTGTGCCAGGAGAGCTAGGTGAACGTGGCACCATCTATCCTTTTTCTTTTTTACTAATTTTATTGCGGCAAAACACAGCTAACCAAAAGATTGCCCAACCAGCCTTTTTTTTTAAGCGTGCAGTTCTGTAGCACGCATTTCACTCGCTGCGTTGTGATAGGATCACCACTCTGTTTCCAAAATTTCCCATCCCTCTTAGCAGGGTCTCAGTGCCCCCTAAAAAAGAAGCGCCCCCTTTCTCCTCCTATCCTCTATGCATTTGCTTGTTCCAGATATTTCACAATAAGGGAAGTCATGCGACCTTTGTCCTTTTTGGGGTCTGGTTTATTTCATTCTCAAGGTTCACCCATGTCACAACACAGGACTTCATTCTCTTTATGGCTGAAATTATTCCATTGTCTGGATATACCACGTGGTTTTAATCCGTTCACCTGTGGTTATGCACTCGGGGTGAACTTTCGTGACCTAATGTTGGCAGCTAAGCCACTTTCCTTCCACTGGGTTATATAGGCTGGAACAGTCGTAAGTCTGCCCAGAGTCAACATGAGGGCAGCTCTTGATGAGCGGAATGTCAAAGAATTTGTTGCCCTTTAGGGGGAAACCAAACTGGGATGTTTACCAGGGATGAGCTGGAGGTGTACGCAAACCATTTAATAATCACCATTGGCAAGTCAGAATGCCTGCTGTCCACACCCTGAAGAAGATCCTGCCCCACTGCCTGCCTGGCACGAGGGGTCAGCTCTTTCTGAATTGTGCCAAGGTGCCAGGGGAGGAGCGGCCCGGGCAGCAGTGGGGAAGTTACTCAGGAAGATCTTGGGAAATGGCTATTAAACGACCCAAACCCAAACCAAGCTCACAGCGACCCTAGAGGACAGGGTAGAGCTGCCTGGGTGGGTTTCTGAGACTATAACTCTTACGGGGCTAGAAACCCTCCTTTATCTCCCTTGGAGCAGCTGGTGGTTTCGAACTGCTGACCTTGTGGTTGGCAGCCCAATGTGTAGCCACGAGGCCATCAGGGCTCCTGTTTCAACATTGTAACCGCAGAAACAACGGCACCATTAGGGACCTATTGCCTAAGGGTTTGCAACCGTAGAGCCTCCAGCTTCCATGAAGTGTGCACAGAGGAAATTATCGAATGATAGCGCCAAATAAAATTGTGCTGAACACAATTTAAAAACAGTTGCACCAGTATCTGATAGAGAAGGGCCAGAAATTCAAGCGGGAATCAGGAAAAGATGTGGACTGAGGGATAGCATTGCTAATGGATCTTGACTGAAAGCAGAGAATATCAGAAAGATGTTTGCTTGTGTTTTATTGACTATGCAAAGGCATTAGACTGTGTAGATCATGAAAAAGTAAGGCTTATATTTTGAAGAAAGGGCATTCGGAACACTTGATTGTGCTCATGTGGAACCTGTATATAGACTGAGCCATTTAAACAGAACAGGAGATACTATGGTTTAAAATCAGGAAAGATGTGTGTCAGTGTTGTTTCTTTCACCATATTTATTAAATCTGTATATGGAACAAATAATCTGAGCAGCTGGCCTTGAGGAGAGAGAACACAGCATGAGGATTGAGGATCAACCTGCAATATGCAGATAATACACCCTTGTTTCCTGCAATTGAAGAAGACTTCACATACTTGTTGACGGAGAATAAAGACTACAGCCTGCAGTCTGGATGACACCTCAAGTAAAGGAAATGATTCTCACAACTGGACCAATAAACAGCATGGGGTAAATGGAGAAGAGATGGCAGTGACCAATGGGTTTGTTTTATTTGGGTCCACAGCCCATGCCCCCAGAAGCAGTAGCTGAGAAATCAAATTTGCGTCGGGCACATTTGCTGCAGATGCCCTTTGGAAAGTGTTAAAAAGCAGAGCTGTCGCCTTGAGGACTTAGGTGTGTCGGACTCGAGTCGTGATGCTCTCAGTTGCCCCATATGCACGAACAAGACAGACCAAAGAAGCGTTGATGCTCCTGAATTACGATGCTGGTGAAGACCATTGACTAGACAAGGACTTCCAACAGAGTGAACGCATCTGTCTCGGAGACAGTCCAACCAGAAGGCTCCCTGGAACTGAGGAGGACGTCATGCTTGCGAAACCAGGGTCCGTGACAGAAAGGAGATGGAGTGACCCAGTGACTGCAATAATGGTCTCAAACATAGCAAGGTTTTTGTTTTTAGAATATTTTATTGGGGGCTCTTACAGCGCTTATCACCATCCATCCATCCATCCATCCATCCATCCATCCATCCATCCATTGTGTCCAGCACATTTGTACATTTGTTGCCATCATCATTCTCAAAACA